GGTAATCGATGATCAACATTAAAATTATCTAATATTCATGACATAAATCCTTTAATATATTGTGTTCATGCTAGGGAATTCTCTAGAAGTAACTCTATATGACCTAAATACAACGACAAGTGTGTAATGGCCACTATATTGGTGCCTAGGTGCAATGTTAAATAAGAAATGGTTCCCACATCATGGATGGATGTTGGCAGAAAAGCTAGTCCTTGAAACTAAAATTAAGATAAAAACTTTGAAGGATAATATTATAAAAATTAAAAGAATTAGAGATAGAGTTATATCTATAAAAATTATTGTTGATACTAAGATTATTACTATTGTATGTGTTTATTCTCCTCAAGTAGGTTTGGATATGTGTCAAAATTAAAATTTTAGGATGACGTAGAAGATTTAATGATATCTCTTGAAGAAAGAGTTTTTATTGGAGGAGATTTAAATGGGCATGTTGGTAGAGAGGTAAATGATTTTAAAACATGCATAGTGACTATAGGTTTGGAGAGATTAATGAAGGTAGTGGGCTGTGGGCTTTTGATTATGGCCTTATCTACTTATTGTGGATGTGGGAGGTTATTTCTAGTACGATCTACTTTATGTGGGTGTGGGCAAGGTATTGAAAATTGGACCAGACAACGAACCGGAAGAGGGAGAGGTTCACGATTCGACCGGGGTTGAACCGGATGATGTAATAAATAACAATATTATTAAAAATTAATAAAATAAAAATCATATAATATAAGTATATGAGCATTTAATAATATTTATAAAATTTTAAAATATATAATACAATTTTATACATAAAAATATTATTAGAATAATATATTTATAAGAATAATACTTAATATAATATATTTATAATATAAAAAAATTATGATCATTAATATAATATAATAATTAAATATATGATCATTTAATAATATTTATAAATTTAAATATATATATAATACAAATTATAAATATAAATATCATTTAAAAATAATATATTTATTTAAATATATTTATAAGAATATATTTTAATATAATATATAATTTATAATATTAATATTTTATAATATAATAATATATATATATATTATAGCAATTTATATACATATTACCAAATTTTGTAACCCAACTAAGCAAAATTTGAAGCCCAAATAAGCCCAAATTCACATTCTAAACTATTCAGGCTTCATGCAACTTTTTTAGTCCCACATCATAGGGGGGTTTGAGGATGTTTCTTTAACCTTTTAGAAAGTGAGAAGTACATCTTTTTACAAAACAATTATGTGAGATATTTAAGATAACTTGCATGTATTATGGTGAAATTAATCATCATATTTAATAAAAATATTTTAAAAAGTTTTTAAAAATTTAATAAACTAAAATTTAGTTTTAAAATTTTAATTAAAAAATATTTTTATAAATCGATCAGTTCTTTCCAACCCATATCGGTTCAACGGTTGAACTGCCGGTTTAATTTGGTTTGATCTGGTTCGATGCAGAGCCGGTTTTGAAGCATGATTGGACCGGCCACCAGACCGGTTCATGATTGAACCGGTTGAACTGGTCGGTTCGGTTCGGTTTTCAAAACTCGGGGTGTGGGAGATTCAATGGAGTTATAGATGTAAGTGGAGTTATAAGGGGAGTCGGGTTACTTTCACCTAGTGGGGGTTAATCTTGGGAAGAATAAGTGGAAGTAGAGTTATAAGTAGACATCAAGACACATGTATCATGTTTAGTATGTGACATAGTATATTAAATGATACAAGTTTAAATACAAAAATGTTCTACTAATAAGTACACTATGATATTTTGATAAAAGTACACTTTAATACCTCTATAAAAATATAAGTGAAAATATATTTTCTTTTTGTTGCAATTCAGGACCCCTAGTTTGTAATTTTGATGATGACAAATAATGCTAATTGAATTATTTTATTCTTCATTAAATATTTTGGATATTACTTTTGTCTGTGAAAACTAACATTTATATTAGATTACACACAGCTCAAGACTACTGAAGGCGCAAGACTGGGTAGAATAAGATGTGAAAGAGTATGTAATTTTTATTTTTTGGTTCTTGAGTATGGCCACAAAACAGTATATGCAGATTGAGTGACCATGCACACACATAGGGGGAGAGTTTTTTTTAAGAAAAAAAATATTTCTTATATAGATCGTACTATACGATTTTACATTGTACTATATGATATATTATTGAGAGTCTGGCCTAACGGCTAATTAGAAATTAGCCTATGTGAACTAATCGTATTGTATGATCTGAATCGTACTGTATGATTTATTTTCAACATAAAACCCTAGCCGCCAAATCAATTTAAACAAGTTTTTAAATTTTTAATTTTGAATACATCGTACTGTACGATGTAAATCATACTATACTAAGATTTGAAATCTTGCTAAAATTAACATTCATGATTAGTCAATTAAATTATAGTTTAGTTAATAATTGATGATCGTACTGTAAGAATTGGATCATACCGTACAATGAATCATGGTGGTTTTTGGTCATACCAAAGATCGTACCATATAAAATCGTGATTTTTGAACTAATCACATTGTACGATTAATACATTGTATAACACAAACTGCATAAACTCAACTGATTGTATTGTATGAATATGATCATATCAGATGATGAATATAGATGATTTTCGATCTTCCCAACGTTTATCCCGTATGAATAGAAGAAATAAAGTAGATCATACTGGATGATATTCATATCGTAGTATACGATGTATTAAAAAAATCTTACATGTTCGTCCTCCTTCATACAAGGATGAGAGTTCTTTTGAACTGATCATACTATACGATTTGGAATTGTACTGTACGAACAGAAATGACTAATTTAATTTTTTATTATTTCTTAAAGCCTATTATATATACAATATTGTTATTCATTAAAATACACAAAGAGGAACGTGACAACTGAAGGAACTCTAGAGAGGGAGATTTTTGAAGAGATTTAAGGCTATTGAGAGGAAGGAGAGGTGAGCTTAAGCGTGAGGGAGTAGTATGAGGGGATCACACGGTTGCTCCGAGCTAGCTGCATGCTTCCTCCTTCTGTGGCCTATGTGAGTCTTGTGGGAGTTGTCTAGGGGGAGAGCCTTCTAGGTTAAAGTCCTCAAAGTTTCTCTACCTTCTTCAGGAGGGAGAAAAATGAGAAGGTCCACTATCGTCAGCGGGAGGGTGACATAGCGTCCGACACTCCGTCACACTGAAAAAGGTAAAAGTGAGTTTTGTAAAGGCTTATCTGTCTTACTGTGGGAGCAGAAGGAGAGTATCTTTTGAGTAGTGCAACTTTCAGAGTGGAGAACTCCGGGGAGTGGACGTAGGTCAAGATTGACCGAACCACTATAAAAATTTATGGTGTGCTTTTTCCTTTTTTTCGCATTTTATTTTTTGCTTTTAATTTTCATTATAATTTTGTGAAAAAAAGGAAAAAAAAATTACTCTTTTGTTTTGACAACTAGAATTTCATCATCACTAGTTTTCAAAGTATATTTAATTTGATATCTTCCACATTTAATAATCAAAATTGCTGATTTCTAACGTATTTTGAAGAACCATAAAAATTAGTGCTCATGTTTAGGATTAATTTTTAAATATACCAATTCACCCTCCTCTTAACGCATCTTGTACTTTCACTTTTATCAAGTATATTCGAACACCCCTATAAAAGTGCAAGTGAAAGTACATATTTCTTCTTATAATATTTAAGCTAAAATAACAAATTTTGGAAAGTTGATTCTAATGTGCATTCATGTTTAAGATAAGTTATATTGCCCCTATAATAATGTTGGCTTAAGTAGTTCTTCTTTTTATATTTTCTATAAGTAAAGTCCTTTTTTGTTAGTTTATAATGAATGTTTAAATCCTTTATTCATAAAATGTAAATGGATATTGATATATGTAATGTGAATTGAGATATCATATTGAGCATATGAAATGCTCACTCATTGTTTATGAAATTTCAAGAAAATGGAAGGGCCTAACGATGTAGAGTTAGATAAGGGTAGAATCATCTGGAGCTTTGTCTTAAGATATTTTGTAATCCAATTATTATTTTTGATATGTAGAATGAACTTGGATTAGATTATATGTATATAATTCTTCAAGAAATGAAATTGGGATGATCTCTTATGTTATTTCAATTGCTTTGGATTATTTAGTCGATTATGGTATGTGTTATGTTGTGGTTGAGATAATTATGTTTATGATTTAATTCTTTCATTACATTATGGGGCATGACATCAGCTACAATAATTCTTTTTCTCTTTCTATGTTGTGTATTAATAATCAAATTCTCATTTAAACCTAATATAGAGATAGAAATCCATAAATAGAAATATATATCATTCAGCTAGTCCATGTGTTTGTGTCAATTTGTATTGATCACATTATGTATTAATTTTTTTATTTATTTTAGTTGTAGCCTTTCATGTAATCCTCTAAACCATATAAATAAGGTGTGAATATGTATATTTTAGATTTCATACAGTGGGGATTACTTACAAAGATATTAGAGCTTTCACTTAGTTATCATATTTATTAACTTCTCTCACTTGGTCCTCTAGGTCTAACCATAAACAATTTAGATCTAAAATCTATAAACTTTTATTAATTAAGTACACCATCAAGCTGTTCTTGCATGATATTATAAGAATTCTCATAGCAAAACAAATAAAGAAATCAACGATGATTATAGGGAAAAATCCAAGTTTAGGAATGAGAGGGTTGGGATATTGGTACTATGTTTTGAGAGAGATTTGATTACATAGATATATATATTTTTAAAAAATGTATTCATTTGAAATAAAGTTTATAATATATGTATTCAAATAAAAAGATAAAAATTTGTTTCAAATAAGTGTGATATGAGATATATTTATTCAAAATTGCAAAAGGAATCACTATGTTAATAAAATTGTGCCAATATTTTTTTACATTTAAAATAGATAATAATGAAAACATATTAAATTGAATAGGTATAAACATTAACCCTTTCGTGCTGATCAAGTTGAATCACCGAATAGGCAAAAGCCGAGTACATCATTCTTGCGTCGCTCTCCGTCTTTGCTCGACCTCGTCTCACTCCGTTCTGCCTGATCCACTCCCGGCGACGCCGATGTCGGTACGCCCTTCTGTATCCCTCATATTCTTCCCTTTTATCGGTCAAATCTTCGAACACTTTGAAGGCATCTTCCACAGTTGTTGTCCTTCTCCAGATCTTTGAGTACAATGGAAGTGCTTTGGTGGCGATGGTAGGGAAAAACTGTTTTGCTATTGCCAGCGATAGGCGCCTCGGCGTCCAGCTCCAGACCATCGCCACGGATTTCAGGAGGATTTATAAGATACATGACAAGCTATACATTGGTCTTTCCGGCCTCGCTACCGACGCACAAACCCTGTAAGAAAAACCTTACTTCATAGGTATTCGTATTTGGTAATTTTTTCCTAGTTTGTATTCTGATATCATATTTGTTCTTTCATATCGTGATGTTAGGTATCAAAGGCTGGTCTTTCGGCACAAGCTGTATCAGCTTCGCGAGGAGAGGGATATGAAGCCGGAGACGTTCGCTAGTCTCGTATCTGCCCTACTATATGAGAAAAGGTAGAATTCCTGTTTATGTGGATCCATATGGCGTTTGATTGAGAGGTTCATTTGTTAAACTGGTTTCTTCACAATGATATTGCCATGTTCTATCTGCCTTGCAAGTAGAGTACTAGTCTAAAATAAGATTGCGAGCTTTTGAATCCTATAATCTTTCAAAATTTTGTTTAACTAATACATCTTATGAAAGATTGAGTGAGGGAAGGAAGAGCAATCAAACACTAATTAGTTCAATTAGTCCAACCAAATGCTAATTTATTCGTATTAGAATAATTAATTTCTCACTGTTTAATGTGTAGTTAGTTCCTAAATACTTTACTAGTTGTTAATCCCTACAAGTTGTCTAATTAATCCTCAGTTAGTCCAGTTAAACACTTGTTTGTCCAACTAACTACTAATGAACTTGAATTACCATAATGATTCATTAATCCCTATTAAATGTATAGTTTAATTACTTTATTAGATATTAAACCCTAATTAGAGCCTAATAAATCCTTGATTAGTCCAATCAAACACTTTACCTAATTATTTCAACTGAACACTAATTATCCTTGTTCATAATTATAATTAAGTAATATCTAATTAACATCAAACTAACCCCTAATTTTCTCATACTTTTTAATTGCTTATTAAGGTCTGATTAATCCTAAATTATAATGCACCTAATTAGTCAAATAAATCCCTCATCATTATTATTAGCTTTATCCTAACCATTTGGGAGGCTTGTGAAATGTGAAATATAACACTAATGAACCAAGTAAGTTCATTTTAACAGTATTTTCTCTATTCATCTGACTAAATTATTTATCTCAAATTAATCTAATAGTTATTCAAATCTAATTAAAATTTAATTAAGTCCTAATTACCTTAAGTAGATTAAGTTAACTTCCTAGTAAATGGTTAATTATTGCATATGTTGATATATCTACTAATTTCTTTTATGATCCTTTAGGGCTTGTGGTCGGAGCTCAAGTTTGGGTTTATCTAGGGTGGCTGCGACCTTTTTTAAAGTTGGTTTTGAAATTACTACGGGGAAAGTAATTTAGTTACTCTGGTTGCAAAAAAATAATTTTGTACCATAGAAATTTTTGAAAAGCAGTAAGAAAGTAATAAAAAAGCAGTAGCAAAATGAAATTATGATTGTTTTCTGAAAAGTAAATCAACAAAAAACTATCCTAAGCATATCTAGTCAAATAAGTTAAGTTTTTAAGTAGGTTAAGTGGTTAGGTTTGTAAAAAGTTAAGTTGTTATAAGTCAAGATAAAATTAGAACATTGCTTGGTTGAATTTCGACGAACTCATTTGCTTAACATAAATAGTGTCATAAATTATAACTAGGCATGAATTTTCATTAATAATTATAATTTAAATCTTAATTAATTAGAATTTTCATAAAATCCTTCAAATGTATTTTAATCATCTTAATTAGAAACCTTATTTATAATTAATAATAATAATAATATTATTATTATGAATAATTATGTCATGATTATCTATGCTTAATTACTATAACTATCTTAATTAATTTTTTAACAATAGTGAATTTTTTTATTATGAGTAATCAAGTGATCAATTAATTAGTACATGCTTAATTATCCTAATTTAATAGTAATACAACCTTAATCATTTTACTGAAATTTTTAATTAATGCTTATAATATAAATAAATAATTAATAAATGATTATGAATTAATTATATGTAATTATTCCATATTTATCATAAATAAATTTGACTTGTTGACCTTATGTTCTTGCAAGCTTACAGTCAAGCCTATGAGAAAGGAGATGCTTAAGTAAAAAAGATAAGCTAAATGCTTATGCACTAACCAAACAACCCCTTGATCAACTAATTTCTTAAGCTATATTCAATAGCTAAACAATCTTGAGGATTTGAAATACTGGGAGCCAAAGAGTTTCTCATATTGAATTATTTTGGATTAAGGAACTACAAGTTTAATAGGATTAAGGTTTTTTGCATGGATTACTTAAAAATGGTTTTATTATCTATGTCATGCTTCATCCTGCAGTACAGACATGCTAGCTGGGAAGTTTCAACATTTAACACTCCTTGACTTTGGAATATGATTGGACATAACAAGATAACAACATACAGTTTTTTGCATCCTCATAGCTTTGAACTAACTTGATTTTCACTATTCAAAATCCTTATTTTTTCTTACCATGTTGATTTTTGATGCAACTTCACAAAATAGGATTCCATGTTTAATGACTGGTTATTGTTGAATCACACAGCAAGGAGGGGACCCATGGCTTTGACAGGTCAGCCATCCGTGGGCTGTAGTTGGAGATTTCCTCTTTTGACACCAAGATCTATGGGATATAATTATTAGAATCAATTAGATTAAATGAATTTTCTCTTCTATTTATTATAATTAATTAGATTAAATATCTTTATTTTTTTGTTTATTCTCCTTAGTGTATATATATGTAATGATTCCAATAAACAATTTCTTCATGGTATCAGAGCTTAGAAAAATTCTAAGTCTTCTTTGAGTGCCGGTGGCAAACCTTCCTTCCTTTCTTCCAAACCTTCAGCCGGCGGTAACTCTCCATCATCTTGCAGATAGCCTCTCTTCAAGCACTGGTATTCCTTGTCCAAAATCCATCTTCTCTTTAACTGAGGAAATCCAACCATGTCCATGGATAGTGAGATCTCATCCTCCTACCCAAATATTACCAGTTTAAACACATGAAGCTTTGGATATGCAGACAACTCTTCTCTTCGTTCTCCTCTCATCACAAACCGCATATTTAATGGGCAAAATTTTTTGCAATGATCTCAATCGGTGAGAATGGTTATTTGCGGGAGAGGGAAAGAGGATTATCTCACTGGTGAAGCCCCTATACCACCGCAAATCGATGCTCTCTATAGAAAATGAAAAGCAGAGAATCATTAGATCATTTTTTGGCTCATCAACTCCATGAATGTAGAAATCGGTGAGAACTTTCTTTTTTACGACATGATCTAAGAAATATGGGAGGCCGTTAAAGAGACTTACTCCAATTCCGACAACACTTTTGAGCTATTCGCAATTGAGACCATCCTTCATGACTGCATATAAGAGGACCCGACAGTATATTTTAATACTCTAACCCGTTATTGGCAACAATTAGATATGTTTGAACAATATTAATGGAAATGCCCAGAAGATCACGCACTTCACTGGAAGATCGTTGAGTCAAAAAGAATCTTCAAATTCTTGATGGGTTTGAACAAGAACTAGGATGACGTTAGAGGACGGATCATGGGAACCAAACTTCTTCTAAATCTCCAGGAGGCCTTTTCTGAAGTTCGAAGGGAAGAGAGTAGAAGAAAGGTCATGTTTGGGAGGCTGACAAGGATCTCTAAAGGTTGAAGAAGGAAATGCTCTTACTGTCCACAGTAATCGAAACTCCTCACATGTTGAAAATCAACATCAAAAAAAGGGACGAAGACCATGGTGTGATCACTATGCCAAACCAAGATATATAAATGAGACATGTTGGAAGATTCATGAAAAACCAACTGATTGGAAGACAAACAAATCATCACAAGAAAGCAAGACGAACTCTGTCAACACCACACAAGATCAATCCATCAAAGCTGAAGCCATTCCTTTCACCAAGAAGAATTTAGAGATGCTGAAGTTGCTGCTTAACAGCATCACGAACCAACAATCTCCAAAACTTGCTACTAGTTATAAAATAGTCAAAATTTTGGTGATCGACTCAAGAGCACCAAATCACATGACGGGAGAAATTATACTCCTTGATTATCAACCTTATCATTCAAATGGAGTCGTTAAGGTTATTGATGGCTCAACATCCAAATTTGTTGGGAACTGGTTCCGCTTTTGTCAGATAAGCTATCATCCTTAAATCAGTGCTTTATATGCCCAATCTTGAGTACAGTCTAATTTTCATTTGTAAATTGACTCGTGATAGTAATTGCTTAACAATTTTATCCAATAATGTATGTATTTTTTAGGAATTGGACTCAGAGAAGAAGATTGATAGTGCTGAGATGTGATATGGGTTATACTACATCATGACACCCAAATTCTTAATTGCTACTAAGAATCATCCTATTGTGAGTCAGTTTGTTGAGAGTCATTTTAGAGTCAGTCAAGATAGAGAAATTATCATAAGGCATTATAGATTAGGTCATCCAAATTTCATGTATCTTGAAATATTTTTTTCCCATTTATTTATTAATAAAAATCCAAGTTTGTTCAAATGTGAAACTTGTCAATTGGCTAAACATAACAAATCATCTTATCCAATTGTTCCTTACCAACCTTCTAAACCCTTTGCCTTGATCCATAGTGTTATTTGGGGACCCTGAAAGGTTAAAAATATCAATGGTGCAAGGTGGTTTGTGATATTTGTTGATGATCATACTATAGACTCACTTGGGTTTATTTAATGAAGGAAAAATCTAAAGTTGAAAGGTTATTCAAATCATTTCAACTGATAATTTAAAATCAGTTTGATACAAAAATTCAAATCTTAAAGTCAGCCAATGGGAGAGAGTACTTTCATTCTATCATGAGAGAATACATATCAAGCCAAAGGATAATTCAAGTGAGTTCATGTGCGTATCTATCATGCTATTCACAAAAGTAAAAAAAAAAAAACCTATGGGGGAGCCTTTCTTACTGCTGCATACCTAATAAATAGGTTACCTGCTCGTGTACTAAAATTTGAAACACTTAAACAAACTCTATTAAAAGCCTATCCTCATGCTCGGTTCATATCATCAAATCTTCCACCTAAAGTTTTTTGGATGCTCTGCCTTTGTTCATATCTATTCACAAGATAGGAAAAAGCTTGACCCAAGATTAAAAAAATGAGCCTTTATTGGCTATTCCCTGACAAAAAGAGGTTACAAATGCTTTTTCCCCATTTCTAGGAAGGTATTGGAAATCATGGATGTCACCTTTTTTTGAAAACAACCTATACTTCACTAGTTTTGAAAGTCCGGGGGAGAGTGAAGGAGAAT